GAAAAATTCGATTATACCGAAATTTACTAACCAACCCAAAAAATATTATTACGCATAAATAAAAACATTATCATTATTATTATTTTATTGTTTTTTTGTCGTAATTCGACTAAAAAAATGTGCGACAAAAATTTTGTCGCATAAATTTAATTTTTCCCTCCTTTTTGTTTTTTAATTAATTTTTCCGAAAAAAATTTTTTTTATTTTTTTTTACGCTACGTTTTTCGGTTATCGTGATTCCGAAATTTTTTCCCTCCCCTCCCTCCATTCCAGGGTCATAAATTCGTTCGTGGGGTCCGTTGTTTGTTTGCATTATTCGTTGTAAACACGTTTTGTATGCGAACACGCGCGCACACACACACACACACACACACACACGCATAACATGAAACGATCGCATGATTAAAAAAAAAAAAAAAAATATGGAGAATTATGCTTGTGACTTTTTTTTTGTTTTGTTTTAATCACAGGGTTCGAAGCATGTTTTAAATCTATTATTTTATGTTAATCAGATTGAATTTATTATTATTATTATCATTATTATTATTATTATTGTCGTTGTCGTTGTTGCTATTATTATTATTTTTTTTTTTTGTAATTTAAAAAAGGGAAAATAAAATGAAAGAATGCTGCATGACATGTCTTTCGTAATGACTTTTTTTTTTATTTCGGTTTTTTGGTTTTACGACGTCATCGAGAATCGATCGATATTTTCAATTAATCGATAATTATTATTATTATTAATATTATTATTATTATTTTCTCCCTCGTGCACGTACGTACGGATTATAAATATTTAGTTATTTATTTGGAAAAAGTTTTGCGTGAAGAGATTTGTGCGTACTGCGTACGTTTATTCGTTTGCTTGTTTGTTTGTTTGTTTGTTTGAGTGTATTTAAATAAGCACATCTCACTCATTTTTTTCTCTTTTCCTTATTGGATCTTAATAATAATAATAATAATCGTTAAAGTTAAAAAGGAACGAAGCGACGAACGAAAACCGAAAAATTAATAACCGGTAATATCGTTTTTTTTTTTTTTCTTTTTTTTTTTTTTCTTATTTAAATTGTCGTTTATACGTGAATGCGTGTGCGTGTGCGTGCGTGTGCGTGCGTGCGTGCGTGTGTATATACATATATAAGATAACAGTTTACAAAATAAAATACAACACAAACACAACAACAACAACAACAACACAATGGAGCTGCTGCTTTGGAACGATCAATTGGAGGAAAACAAAAAAAAAAAAAAAAACAAAACAAAACAAAACAAAATAAAAACTCAAAACAGAAAAAGTTTTCATCGGAATATCTGTCGGATGATAACTTCTGGAAAATCTAATTTAAAAAACAAACAAACAAACAAACAATCGTTCATCGAAAGATTACCAACAACAACAACAACAACAACAAACATTCAACAATTATAATAATTTTAACTTGATTAATTTTTTTCTTCTTCTTTCGATAAATTTTTCATTTATTTATTTCGGGATACGATTGATAATGAAAGAAAGAAATGGGGAAAAAAACAATAATAATAATGATAATGATAATGATGATAAACAGCCAAGGCAGAGATCCAAAACAACACAATTTAAAATATACATATACTGTCACACAAAATAAATAAAAAAAAAAATCAACCACAACATTTTCCACTCGAACAACGGAAGCAGAAAGAAAAAAAAAAAAAAGAAAGAAAATTGATTTCATTAAATAAGAAAAAAAAAAAAAAAAAAAAAAATTTTTTTTAATTTTTAAATAAGAAAAAAAAAAAAGAAATAATAAAAAAAAAAGTTTTGGTTGATAATAAGAAAATTGTGTTTGTTCAGGATTTTTGACTTGGCTGGAGGAGGGTCTTCGTCTCTCTCCGACAAGAGGATAAAACAGCATCACGTTAAGATGCATGCAAGAGATGTTGGTTGTGTGTGTTTAGTTGTCAATGATTGTTGTTGGACGCCGATCATAGCGACGAGGTAATATTTACATTTTATTTTACTATTTTTTTTTTTGTTGTTGTTGTTGGCAACATTGTCGCGTTTAACTTTTAATAATAATAATAATAAGAAGAAGAAAAAAAGATCAAAACAAAAAAAAAAAACAAAAAGATCCATTAACGGTTAAACGGAATTAAACGGATTAATTTTTACGGATTTTGAGAAAAAGGAAAGAAAAAGGAAAAAGGAAAGTTTTAAAAGGAAAATAGAAAATTCGAGAAAATGTATATCTTAAATTTGAATCATCCGAATTTTTTTTTTTTTTTTATTTAATATTTTGACGTCATTTGGAAAAAATTTTTTTTCTAAACTCGACGCCACACAACCGCCAAATCGATTATTGATTTTTTTTTGCTTCTTTCGCCCCCTTGCCCCCCTTTCCCCCTTCCCTCTTTTCCTCTTTTCCCGTGCTTTTCCTCCTTTCCCTCCCTTTTCTTCATACTCCCCTCGCGGCTCACATTTATTTGCCTGTTGCGAATTTCGAAACGTTTTTTTAATTTTTTTAATTTTTTTTTTATTTAAAATTTTAATTAATTAATACGAGTGAGATAGATAGATAGATAGGTAGAGAGAGAGAGAGAGAGAAAGAGAGAGAGAGAGTTTCCTGTTTGGATGGGACTCTAGGTCATATACAAAAAAAAAAAAAATTTAATTTGAGAAATTTAATATGAGAAAAAAAAAATTTTTTTTTGTTTTCTTCTGCCTAGCGATCGAATATTTGTCGCCATATTGTTTGTAAAAAAAAAAAAAAAAGAAAATTTTTAAACCGGAAATTTAAGACAAAAAAGAAAAAAATTTTTTTTTTTTTATCGTGGATTTCCGCTTTATAAATCTCGGGTTTAAATTTTGATAAAATTTTCTTTCTTTTTTTTTTTTTTTTTTTTTGTACGACGTTGCATTTAGTTGATAAAGAAAAAAATATGGTCAGTCAAATAATAATTCACCTCTAGAATTTTCTAGAAAGAGAGAGAAAAAGAAAATAAATTTTTTTTCTCTCTCTCTTTCTCTAGAAGTTTGTGTTGTTGTTGTTGTTGTTTCTGCTGCTGCTGTTGTTGTTGCCGTGGCATTAGCTGTTGTTGTTGTTTTCGTATTAAAAAAAAAATTTTCTTTGTCTTTTTCTCCTCATTGTTTAAATTCCCCCCCCCCATTTCCATGTATTTTTAATCATTGCATTTATTATTAATGACGATTATTATTATTATTATCATCATTATTATTATTATCATCATTATTATTATTTGATCAGTTTTTCTTTTTTTGTGAATCATCGAGTAAAACAAAATATTTCAATAAGATTTTCTTTTTTTTGTTTGATTTTTCATTATTCGAAAAACTCGAAAGGTAATAACAATAATAATAATAATAATTTTTTTTGTTATTAAAAGTAATTATGAAAATTCTTTTTTTTTTTACCTTATTTTCTCTTCCCCCCTCTCTCTCTTCCTCCTCCCCTGTTTTCTCTCTTTTTTCTTCTCGTTTTCTTGTTACGAAGGGATTTTCAAAGTTCCATTTTAATAATAATCAAGCATTTTAACATTATTAGCATCTGTTTCGTGTTTCGGAATCATTAATTCTTCCTTTTATTATTATTATTATCATTATTATCATTATTATTACTATCATTATTATTTTTCTTTCTGTGTATTAAAAAAAAAAAAAAAAAAAAAAAAAAAAATTAAAATCAAGGTTGAATTAAAGAAAAAGGAAAAAGGAAAAAAGAAAAAAAAAATCGTTTTAAAAAAATAACCTTTTTAGTAAATAGATTAATCTCTCTCTCTCTCTCTCTCTCTCTCTCTCTCTCTCTCTCTCTCTCTCTCTCTCTCTTTCTACCTCCTTCCCCCTTCCCTTTCTCTCTCTCTTTCTACCTCCTTCCCCCCTTCCCTTTCTCTCTCTCTTTCTACTTCCCCCTCTTTCTCTCTCTCTCTCTCTTTCCAACAACCTGGCAAAAAACCGTATCGAATCCATTTACTTCTTCTCCTTCTTTTTCTTTACTTAACCTTTTCTTTTAACTTTGTTTAATTTTAATTACGTGAAGAGAGGGAGGGGGAAGGGAAAGAAGGGGAGGGGAGGAAATTAACGAATTTCAACGATGAAGAAAAATGAAAAAAAAAATTTTTTATTTGAGGTTAAAAAAGAATCGAAAGAAAGATTAAAAAAGGTGGATAAAAAAGGACTGGAAAAGATTTTTTTTTAAAAAGAAAATGTTTGATTTTTCCAAAAAAACTTAAATTACGTAACCCACATCTTCGTGGATTTTTTTTTTTTTTTTTTATCTTTTTTTTTTTTGCTGGAGAAAGAGTTTTTGATTTATCGCCATTTTGTTTTTTTTTACGCGATGAAAGTTTTTTTTTTTTTTTTAAATCTTCAATAGAAAATTTTGTTGTGCTGAAAAAAGTTTTACTTCACTTTTTAAAACCGTATGATTTAATTTATTGCATTTGATTGTTGTTGTTGTTGATGATGATGATATAATGGAAAAGTTTTCGGTTGTTTGTTTGCAGGTAAAGGAGATTATTTTCCATTGCGACCTCCTCCACTTTTGGAAGAGCCTAGATTAGGTGCCGGTCCACAGCCTTACAGTAAGTATAATATTACCTTCGTTTGTTTTCTCTCTCTCCCTCCCTCTCTCTCCTCGAAGGAAAGGATAGGGTGAGGGAGAGAGAGAGAGAGAGAGGGGGGGGGCGGGGGATTCGGATTTTAAAATGGGGAAAAAGAGAAAAAATTTACTTGAAAAAGAAAGAGAATGAGAAAAAAGAATGTTAAAATTTTAGGACCCGATTTCGGTCGAAATTATCCCGGAGGATCATACGGAAATACTGATAAATATGATGATTTTCTCGGTGGTGGTGGTGGCGGAGGCGGAGGAGGCGGTGGTGGAGGAGGAGGAGGAGGTGGCGGAGGCGGTGGCGGCGGCGGCGTAGGAGAATACGGCGATCATTATCCTCCGGAAAGATTTTCTTCCGTTCACGCGAGCGGTGAATTCAATCGCGACTCATCATCCATGACACCTTCCATGAATTTTCGTCATAATCCAGGTTTTCAAGGGAGTCCGGCTTTATTGAGCACTTCCGGAGCTCTCGGAGTCACGACGGGTCCCGTCATGATGGTCTACGGTCTCGACACGAAAAAACTCAACTGCGACAAATTGTTTAATTTATTTTGCCTCTATGGAAATATCGCGAGGGTGAGTTTTTTTTTTTTTTTTTTTTTTTGAGAAAACCGGAAATGAAATTTTCCCCCGTTTCCGGTTTATTTATTTATCGTGACGTAATTTTCAGATAAAATTTTTAAAAACGAAAGAAGGTGCGGCCATGATACAAATGGGTGATGGTTCGGCCGTGGAAAGATGCGTTCAACATTTGAACAACGCTCCAATGTTCGATTCGAAAAATCGTTTGCAGTTGGGTTTTTCAAAGCAGCCATTTTTAAGTGACGTAACAAATCCGTTCGTGTTACCGGACGGAAGTCCATCTTTCAAAGATTTCATTCGTAACAAATACAATAGATTTGCTAATCTTGCTATGTCTCTTAAAAATAGGATTCAATCACCTTCGAGAGTGAGTTTTTTTTTTTTTTTTGTTTGTTATCACCAATAATGATAATGATAATAATGATAATGATAACGATGATGTTTAAAATGTGCAGATTCTTCATTTTTTCAACACGCCTCCGTCGCTCACGGAAAAAATGCTTTTGGATTTATTCGAAGAAAAGAAAATAGTACCTCCGTTGACGATAAAAATATTTCCAATGAAAAGTAATTGATTGATTGATTGATTGATTGATCCATTGATTGATTGATCCATTGATTGATTTCGATAATTTTGACGATAAATTAATTTTAATGTTTAGGCGAAAGAAGTTCTTCTGGTCTCATTGAATTTGAAGACATCGAAGGTGCTATAGAAGCTCTAGTGGTTCTCAATCACGCTCCAATAGAAAATCCAAACGGTAAATTTCCATACACTATGAAATTATGTTTTTCCTCGTCGCGACAAGTGAACGTGAACGGTACGACAAGAGTAGTTCAAAACAACGGTAATAATAATAATAATAATAATAATAATAATGATAATAATAACGGACAACAGAGTACTTAAAAATTATTAATTAATTAATTAAATGAATAAATAAATGAAGAAAATGTGTACGAAAGAATGATTCTGATTCGTTGAGGTCGCGAAATAATAATAATAATAATAATAATGATAATTAATTAAAAAAAAAAAATGAGGAACGAAAAAAAAAAAATCAACGTTCGTTAAAAAAAAAAAAAAAACAAAAACAAAACAAAAAAAAGGGAAAAATGTCGACAAAGAGTTAAAAAAAAAAAAAAAAAAAAAAAAAAATTTCCCTGTCGTTTGTTTTTGTCTCATTACAAGAGTAAGGAGGAGAGGGAAAAAAGTAAAAAGAATATTTTTTTTTTGAGGGGGAGGGAAGGGGAGGGAAAGGGAAACGTTTCAAACAAACATTTTTTTTCGCGTTTGTTACAATAATAATAATAATAATTATTGTTATAACAAGGGAAACCGTTTCACAGTTAAAAAGAAAACGTTGATTTTTTTCGTTTTTTACTCTTTTTTTTTTCCCTATTAATAATTATTTAAATAATAGAATGTAAGTATAAAAAAAAAAAAAAAAATGTAAAAATGTATTTTATTATTATTATTATTATTATTATTATTATTATTATTAAGAATGTTACCAGTCGAATGGGGGTAAAAAAAAAAAAAAAAAAAAATTAAAATTAAAATAATTAAAAATTAAAATTAAGTCAAAGTGTAAAAAGTCACGAGAGAAAAAAAGTTTTTCTTTTTTTTTTAAAAAAAAAAAAAAGGAAAACTTTTTTTTTTCATTTCATTATTATCATTATCATTGTTATTATTATTACGATTATTATTATTATTATTATTATTATTATTACTTATTGTCGTTGAAAAGTTTAAGCAAGAAAAAAAAGAGAAAAGAGAAAAGAAGGTAACAATTTTGAATTTTTTTTTTTTTTTATTGGACGAGAAGAAAAAATTATTATTATTATTATTCATTTTTTCCTCCCGATTTTTATTTGGGAAAATGAGTTGAGCGGGGGAAGAGTGGAGTTAGTAGCAAAGTGGGCGTGTACCGAGGGGGGGGGTGGGAAACGAAGGGAATCTGTTTGGTACGTTCGTTGACAATTAAAACAAAACAAAGAAATAAATAATAATAATGTTTATACACGCACGCACGTGAGACACGCCACGTGACGTGACGTAATGCGGCGTTGTCAGACCCCCGGGGAGGAGGAGAGAGTGAGGGAGGGAGAGAGGAAGCTTCCCCGTCGTTTTTTTTTTTTTTGTTATTGATAATCGTCCAGTTTTTCCACAAACAAAAAAAAAAATGTTTATTAATAATAATAATAATGATGATGATGATGATGATGATGATTACGTTTGTAGAATCGTTATTATTATTATTATTATTATTATTTATATTTATTTATTGTATAAGAAAATGAAAAGACATTAAAGTTTATTATTTTATTCCTTTTTTTTTCTTTTTTTTTCGTTTCTTTTGTTTTATTATTATTATTATTATTATTATTATTATTAATATTATTAATTTAATTTTAAATTGTCTTCCATTCCTGATCGGTAACACGGTCCGTTTTATTATTATTATTATTATTATTAATACTTTATTAAACCGTTTCCGGTTTTTTTTTTTTTTTTTTTTTTTAAACGAGGGTTAATTTAAAATGGGCTACTACTACTACTACTACCTACTAATGGTTACTAATAAGTACAAATTAAATAAATTATTATTATTATTATTATTTTTAATTGAACATAATAATATTTCATTTATTGATATAATTATGTATTATAATAAATATTATTATTATTATTAAGGTTTTATTTTAATTAATGATAATGATGATGATGAGAAAGTATCTAAATATATTAATCGAAGGTACGAATGACGTTTTGACATGATTAAAAATGATAATAATAATAATAATAATAATAATAATAATAATAATATTGCGTTTTTTTGTTCGTTTGTTTGTTTGTTTTTCTTTCTCTCTCTCTCTCTCTCTCTCTCTTTGTATTTTGGAAGAAAAAAAAAATTGTTACCTTTTTTTTTTAGTTGTTTATCGATTAATTAAATTTTTTTTCTTCTGCTAGAAAACGGAAATCCGGCCAGAAATCTAAAAAAAAAAAAAAAAAAAAGATTTTTTTTTTTTTTTAAAATTGTTTTTATATCTACAATTATTATTATTATTATTATTATTATTATTTACTTTTATGAAATTCAATCGTGAATTAAAATATAAAAAAAAAACAAAAAGATAATAATGATGATAATAAAACTATTATTATTATTATTACATATATTTATTTATTGAATGTAAATAATAAGTGGAAACAAAAAAAAAAAAATTATAAATATTTATACATATATATATAAAATTAGGATAATGATGATGAGAAATTAATAAACATACGATAATGATAAATGATAATAATAATAATAATGATAATGATAAAAAAAATAATGATAAAAAAAAAAAAAAAAAAATTTGAGCTTGACTGAAAGAAATTCCAGGGAAGCTGACCGAAACATATCAATATAGTGCTTATTAATGTATAATAAATAATAATAATAATTATTAATATTATTATTATGATTATTATTAATGTAATACAAAACCTAAATGTGAGAAAAAAACCACACACCGCGCCCCCCGCCCCGCCCCAAAAAAAAAAAAAAGAAAATTTTTTTTCTTTTTTTTTTTTTTTTTTTTGGAAATTGTTTGTTTGTTTTTTTTAAATTTTCAACGGTTTTTTTTTTTTTTTATTTGTCTAGTCTAAATTAATATTATTATTATTATCAACAATTGTATAAATGTTTTTTTTTTCTTTTGTTTTTTTTTTGGGGTATAAAAAAAAAAAAAAATGAATATTATAAAAAATTAATTGAAGAAAAATTCTTTAATGATATAATCTACTAATGATGATAATGATGATAATTTGTTTTTTTTTTTTTATAAATAAAATTATTTGATTTGATATTCAACAACAACAACAACAAACTAAAGTGGAAAAAAAAAAATGTGTATAAATGATTTATATTAAACAAAAATATTATTTATTTTAAAGAAATAATAATAATAATAATAATAATAATTGATAATTTAAATTGTTTATATATATATAACAAACATAAATTAATTTTAAATTTTAAATATTTAAATTGTTTCATTTTAATTACCCTCCCCCTTTTTTTGTTTAAATTATAATTTTTTGTGTTATGTAAAAAACAAGATGGCGCTCCGTCAAGAAAAACAAAAGAAAAAAAGAATTTTTTTATTTGAAAGAATGTTTAATGTTTAAAAAAATCCCCCACCCCCCTTCCCCTCTCCCGCCGTCATAAAACATTATGATTTATTTTTACTTACTGATTTGTTTATTACCTAATTATATTAAAAACATTATTTAATTCTTATATTGAGAATAATAATAATTTTAAAAACAAATTAGTAAATATTAAATGGCGCGATAATTATTATAAATCACCGCCTTTTCATATAAACAAGTCCGCCATTTTTCTTTACGTTGACCGCTTTTTCATTTGTTTATATTCATTCGTCATGCAAAGTCATTCGAAATTAAATTTTCTTTTTTTTTTTTTTTTTTTTTTCTCATTTAATTTGATTTTAGGGAAAGTTTATTATAATAAAAATGTGTTGTTTTTAATTGTTAAAAGAATAATTTTATTGTTATTAAATTAAATAACGTGAAGTTTATATAAATTTAAAAAGTTTTTTCTTTTTTTTTTTTATCATTAAAATTATTTATTTTAAATGAGAATAGAATTTGTGTTGTTATAACGCGCATGATATTTAACAATAAATAATAATCGTTTAATATTTAAATAATAATTATCACGAAATAAAAATAATTTATAATAATTAATATTCATGATATAAAATAAATTAAGCTTTTTTTTTTAACAAGATTTATTATAATTAGTTTTTTTTGTGTGTGGTATTTGATATAAAGTTTAATTGAACACGTTTAAAAAAGGAATTCAAGGGGTAAGTTTTTATTCTTTTTTTCTTTTTCTAATTTATTTTTTACTAGAATCTTATTTTCAATGAAAATGATTATATAATTTTTACCTGCTTGATAAATTTTATAATTGAAATTACATTTTTTCTTCTATCAAATCTGCCATTTTAAATTAAAACGTTAATAACAAAACAAAAAAAGGTTTAATCAGTTGTTATTTGATATAAAATTTCAATCATTTGAATAATTTATCATTTTAATAAACTTTTTTTCAATTTTCTCGCGTTTTTTATATAAATTTTACAGGGAAAGGAAAAAACGCAACGGTTAAGTGTGACGTAACGTTCGAAAACGTTTAAATTTAAAAAATTTCCGTTAGGACGCTACGTTGGGGACGTCGGTTGGGAAATTTAAAAATATAATTAATTTCAACGTTTAATAAATATATTAATCGATTTTAATTCTATTTACAATCGTGTAATAAATATAAACGTTTGCCCAAGTTTTTTTTTTTTCTTATTAGTGTAAAAAAATATTTATTTTAGCTGGTCAAGGGTCCGACAATTCTTGTTAATATGTTTTCACTTATGTACCATAATTTTTTAGCAAGTTCTTCGTCACGTCCTTCTTTACTCATCACGCAAGGACAACAATTGTTTAGGTATATCCCACCGGAACCAGTCATTTCGGAAGCAATGGCGGCATATACGGTTGTAGCTGCAGCTTGTTGCTTTTAACGGAAAATGATTAAAATTATTATTATTATTTTCTTTATTTAATTACTAATTTTAATAAATTGTTTTCATTTACCAGTGATTTAGTAAAAGGTCTGACGATTGTAAATATCAAACGATAGAGACAGGAATGTTTTTTTAAGTTTGTATTAACCATGTTTCCAGGATGAACCATGAATACATCTATGTTACGATGAGCCCATCGATTTTGTAATTCGACACCGAATAAAACATTACATAATTTACTGTTATTATAAATCATCATGTCCCAGTATCCGCTGGGAGAAGTTGGATTTAATTTTTCTTCACTTATATTCAGTTTGTTAATGTTGCTAAACCTGAAAGAGGAGGATTATAGGATTATTAGGATTTTTTTTGTAAACCGCAATCACAAGTCATTCTTGGAGATCATAATATACCTGTGCGATTCAGATGAAAGAATAACAACTCTCGAACCAGATTTTAAATTGTTTTGAAGTAATAGGGTTAAGTAAAAATGCGATAAATGATTAACTTGAAAAACAGATTCGATTCCATCGACTGTTTGCATCCAACCAACCCCCATAATTCCTGCATTCAGTATAAGAACATCTAAAAAACTAAAAATTATTTTTTAAATTTAAAACAAGGTTGAGGTTTCTCATTAAAAAAAAAAAAAATATTCTAAATAAAGTATTTTACTTACTTATAATGGTGTTTAACAGTTTCAGCTGCGTACTTAACACTTTGTAAAGATGTCAAGTCGATTTGCAGTGGTCTGATTTTACCATTTGGATAATCTTGTAATATTTTATTTTCAGCTGCTTTACAAGTTGTTTCAGTTCGACCGCAAAGAATCACTTCTGCACCATGTCGAACAAATGATTTTGCTGTTTCAAATCCTTAAATATTAACCAATAGTTTACAAAGTTATAAATAAATTCTTCTTCTCGATTTATAATAGTTTCTAAATTAATGTTTTTAGCAAATGAGTACTTATACATTTTGAAAAATGTGGCCATAAGATGATTTGTTAAAGTCAAATAAGGGCAGTTTCAAGTTACATGCTCCTTACCTATACCGCTTGTGGCTCCAGTAATTAAAATAACTTTTCCAGACAAATCGATTCCATGTAAAACTTGAAGGGCAGTAGATGATCCATCGAATCTTTGTCTAAAATCCATTTTATGATTTTTTTCTTCGACTGCAAAAGCTAAACGAGGATCAGTGAAAGTTTTTTGTTGAGTCGTACGATCAATAAATATCATTTGTCCATTTTCAATTATTTTTTCCCAATTAGGAGGAAGTTCTACATGATGAAAAAGAAAAATTCACAATTTTTTTCGGTGTATCATTTAAAAAAAAAAAAAAAAATGAACTAACCACCAAATGTTTTTTTCTTTTTTCCCGTTCTAGGATGCGTCCACTGATAACTTTTGGTAATTTGACTAAAAAATAATAATTCGAATCAGGTACAGCTTCAATGTTTAATAAAAAAAAAAAAAAATTTCATGAGGTACGTACTTTACGTAATACACGGTACCATCTAATGCTGCTCTTTCTTCCCATCCAGGCGGTAATTCATCTTCGCTATCAGAATCAGGGGGAGCGGTTGCCATTTATCTTAATTAATCTTCATTAACCTCTTGCGGTAATTATTCATCAAATTATGTACAAAAAAAAAAAAAAAAAAAAACCACTTGCGGCGAAGAAAGGTAAATTTTCATAGTCGTAGAATAATTTAAAATAAAAAAATTTTTTCTTTTTAAAAGATAAATGAAATAAATTTACATTTAAATTATATTTTTTCATTAATTATTATCTATAATGTGATGATAAACTTTATATATCGAAGTCTTGTTGGTTAAAAAAAATTTCATAGAGTAAGAAACACGTACACTTGATTTAGTGTGTAAACGTTTACTTGCTTGTAAAAGTATTCATTTAATTAATATTATTATTCATTTATCGAATTGTTGTATTTGTTTATATTAAAATAATATTTTAAAATGTCTTTAAATCGGGATATGATGAGATTAATGGATAAAAATGATTCTCCGATCGATTACGTACAGATGGATGGTTTGGTGAGTAACCATATTAGGTTATATCATTTTAATATGATTATTTTTTTTTTAATTGTATTTTTTTGTTAACAGGCCGTTATGAAAATGGTTAAACACTGTCACGAAGAATCATCTGGAAATTTTGAAATAGCACAAGGAGCTTTGTTGGGTCTCGTAGTCGAAACGCGACTCGAAATAACAAATTGTTTTCCATTTCCAAAGCACGATGATAGCATCGACGAGGAACAATATCAGCTTGATATGATGAGACGTTTGAGAAGAGTTAACGTCGATCATTTTCACGTTGGATGGTATCAAAGCTCGGACGTTGGAAATTTTCTTAGCCTTCCACTTTTAGAATCACAATATCATTATCAGATCTCAATAGAAGAATCTGTTGTTGTTATATATGGTAAGATTTCTCATGTTTCCTTTTTGAAATTTTTGCATTTTGTTCGATTTACAAAAAAAAATTAAATTTTTTTAGATACCCAAAAATCTGCAAATGGTTTTCTGACTTTAAAAGCATATCGTCTAACTCCTCAAGCAATAAACATGTACAAGGATAATGAATTCACTCCAGAAGCTTTGAGAAATTTAAAAATTGGATTTGAAAATTTATTTACCGAAATACCGATTGAAGTTCGTAATTCTCCACTAACAAACATCATGTTGTCGGAGTTAACGGAAATGGTTCCGGAAGAAGAAGGAAATAATTTTTTGGATTTGGGCACAGCGTGAGTTTTCAAATTTTTTTACTCTGTGAAATTTGAATTAGAGATTTAATTGCCAAGTTCTTTAAAATTTATTTATAGGTCTGTACTTGAAGGACAATTAAGAGCCATGATGTACAGGGTAGATGAATTAAATCAAGAAGCCATTAAATTTAACAGGTTCCAACAGCAAGTTATCAGGCAGCAACAAGATAAACATAGGCTATTGCAAAAAAGGGTAACGAAATAATAATAATTATTTTTTTTTAAATTTTTTTTAAATGGTGATAAATTTAACGATTGATTCATTTATTGCAGGCTGTTGAGAATTCAGCCAGGCAAGCTAAGGATGAACCTTTATTACCTGAAGACGATATAAATAAAATGTTCAGACCAATCCCTACTCCTCCGAGATTAAATCCAATGATTGTATCGGGTCAAGTAAATGCATATGGTCAAGCCATAACTCAGTTCTGTGCTCAGTCGTTAGCCAAACTTTATGTAACTCAAGCTTTGCAAAATGCCAAAGAAGGTAAGTTTTTGATAGAAAAAAAAGACAGAGAAAGAATTCAAGATTTTGTTTTTTAAATGGCTATTAACCTTAAATTTTTTTTCTCTCTCTCTCTCTCTCTCTAATTACAGAAACCAGAATTTAATTAAAATCATCGAAGAAAAATTTTTTAAAAAGGAAGCTGACTGAGGATTGGAGACAACACATCGTATAAAAAAAAATAATAATTTGTTTGTTTTTATTCTGTCTGTTTATCAATAGGGATTAATAATTAATTGTTTCCATTTCATAAAATTAAAAAAAAAAAAATAATAATAATAATAATAATAAATAAACTTATAAGAATATTTCTACCGAAAAAAAACTTTTAAAAAAATTTTTTTTTCTTATCTTTATTAAAATTTGCAGGAATGCAAATCTCACGTGACGGGAAAAGAAGGAGAAAAAAAAAGTAAGATGGAGGAAAGAGAGAAAATAAATAAAATTTTTCTAAATATCATTCATATACGTATTTTTATATATAAACACGTGAGCATAAATTTAAACGAACGGAAAGGTTCGATAAAAATTTTTATTTTTTAATTTTTTTTTTTTTTTTACAATCTAATAATAATAATAATAATGATAAACATTTTTTTTCTTTATTTTTCGTAAATATTTAGAATAATAATATCATTATTAAATATGAATTTTTTTTTTTTTAATTTTAGCACACACAACACTACGAAAACGAATAATTTTTTTTTTTTTTTTTTTGTTAATTTTAATTTAAATGGACAAATCGGTATATATATATATAAAAAGATAAAATGGACGGGATGGGAGGACGGTGCAAAAGTATTTGAAATTGGCACAAAATTTCGTATCATTTTTAATTGACGACAACGATTCTAAAAAAAAAAAAAAAAGCGAATAGAAATTTTAGTTTTTCCGTACGACTAACGTTTAACTAATACCTAATATTTAATACTGGCGTAAAATTTCGTTGTATTATTATTATTATTTAAAAAACATTTTAGGTACGAATCAAGTGCAAATCAAGTGCAGCACAATTTTTTTAATAATAAGTGTCGTGATGATGATGATGATAATAATAATTAATTAATTAATATTTAGCATTTGTCTAAATGTAAACAGCTGACAGCAGTTAAAATTACAATCAAGCTACTAACGATAGTAATTATTATTATTATTATTATTATTATTATTGCTACTGCCGAGAAAAAAAAAATTGTTTTTTTTTTTTTTTTTATTAAAACATTTTCTCTCTTTCTTTTTTAGTTTTAATTTGTTCAACCTATGAGTTTGCTAAAAATATATGGATAAAAAGATGGAGGATTTGAATGTACGATAAGCCTTCCTCTATTCGGCCTCTGTGGATATTCATATTCGTTATTATCCTTAACGAAATCAATGGCGTTTCTCGGCGCTCTATCGGTTTTTTCGGTAACTAAAACATCCGTTTGTTTACTCGATGACGTCATGATGTGATTTTGTGTATTGTAAGTACCGGAAACGGTGTTTAAAGTAGTCGTCGTAACCGTCGGAGTCGGATCGTTTTTCTTTTCGTTTGACATATTAGTGACGTTATTGTTAATTTTTTCACCCATTCGTAACGGATGAACTCCGTGATGGATTTGTGGCGTGTTTGTCGTCGTTGTCGTCGTCGCCGTCGCGGTTAACGGGATTTGACTTGTTTGTTCGGTCGAATTGTTGTTATTTTTAACCGTTGTGAAATTATCTATTTCAACCAAATCGACGTTAATAACTTCCATCGGAGACATGGGCGAATTATTTATCATCGTATCAACATTCAATGGCACCAAATAAGATTCAGCAAAATTTTCACCTTCTTTTTCATCTATCATAAATACCAATTGTGGATTATCGGATGATGAATTATTATTGCTGTTGCTGTTGCTGTTGTCGGGTAATGTTTCGTTACTTTTTTCACTTGTTATTATTAGCGTGGGCAATTCTTTTCCAACCATCATTGGTGCCGATGTTTTGTCGTTTGTATCTTTGTCGTTAATTTTAACCGGGCTCAAAAGAAACGTTTTGTTATCCTTAAAAGGTTTCGTGGGATGTGATATTGTGCCGTTGCTTTTCGTGACTTGTGCCTGTGACGTCATATTGTTATTAGGTGTATGATCGATTTCGTTCGTTGTCAAACTAACCGTGTTCTGTGTCAAAGTCGTTAGATTTTCCGTCGTCGTCGTTGTCGTCGTCGTCGTCGTCGATGCTTTTGTCACGACGACATGAGATGAATGTTTTTCAAACGGTAAATGTGGGGGATGTGGAAAAGAACTCTGAGGAGGGGGGACTTTTAAAACGTTTGGATCTTGCGTTGATGTTATTTGGGTCGATGATTCGACAGGTGTGACAACATCGGAAATCAAAGTCGAAGAATTTACGTCTCGTCTGTGTCTCGTTTGTGAAAAATACGCCGACAAAGATTTCAACGATTCCGAATTTCCGGTGTTGCGATTTTTCAATTTCGAATTGTTGTTGTTGTTGTTGTTGTTGTTATTCGCACCGGAAGTCTCGCGATTTTTATCGTCGTTAAATGCATCCGTTGTTAACTTATTGAAAAACGTACTCGCAAATGCATCTTCGTCGCAAGATAATCTTTTCATTAATTTTTCACGATCCTGAAATATTAAAATTAATCACGTGACGTTTCACAATGGGAAATTTTTTTTTAGAAAAAAAAGGAGTCGCTTACTTCGCCACCCTTGCAAGCAATTCTTCGTGTACCATCCAAACCGCAATCGGAAAACAATTGAACGATATTCATTTCCGGTATGAAAGTAACAGTTAAACTCGGAAGTGACGTTATCATACAACCATCTTCTTTTTTGGTCCATTCCGGTACTGAAACGAATGAATTTTTTTTTTTTTACCGGTTCATCTTTCACTCAAAAAAACAAACATGTCGGTGTTACCTGGTAGCTCGCAAACAAACGATGCCATTTGAGGACCCCGGCAATAATAACTATTCCAACGAAAATCAGAAATCGGATCAATGGCGGCACATAATCTTTCGTTCGTTTTCGGTATGGGTTCCAACCAATAACCGTCGCCCAATAGTTTTTCACCGTTTCTGCAATTATTATTATTATTATTATTATTATTATTATTATAGTCAAAAAGGTCGTAAAAAAGGGGAAATATTTACTCACGTCCACGAAAATGGTTTTTCCGACGATTCTTTTCTTAATCCTATCCAAATGTTGTCGGTGACGTCGAGTTCTTTTAAATAAGCTCGAGCCGCATCCATTTGAACATTGTTTTGAACTGGAAAATTTTTTTTTAAAAAAAAAAATGTTTTAAGGGGTTTTTCTTTTTTAAAAACGTTTTTTAAAAGAAAATGTACCTGAAAGTAAATCGGCGTGATGAAATCCGCAAATGGCTTCGGCTTCGTTCCACGTTACTTTATTATTAAAAAACCGGTAAAAAACTGGAAAATTTTCCTGTGGTAAAAACCATACGTTCGATATGTTTACCTAATGAAAAACAAATAGATTTTTTTTTTTTTTTTTACGATGTTGTTTGTTTGTTCAGAAACTTGTTCAGAAAATAATTTTTCTTTTTTTTTTTTTTTGTGATTTCAGTTATTTGAAGGGGGCATCGGTTAAAACGCGGGGAGTCATGTCACCAAAGAGAGAGAGAGTCCTTGTTATGTGGAAACCCTGGAATGAATAATTGAGGAAAACTCGGACCAATTCCGTCAAAGGAACGTGTCGTGATGATAATGATGACAAAATCAACGTTACAAGGTTTTTATTTTATTTTTTTTCTATTTTTTTTATAAGAGATATTATTATTATTATTGTTGTTAGGGTTTCCCCTTACGTATTGACAAACGATTTAATTATTAAAATTAAAGGAGGTGGGAGGAAAATAGGGGAGGGGAGAGATGTGGGGGGAGGGGTTAGAGAACCGGCGAAAAAATTAATAAAATTTTCTTTACGAATGATTTTTCCGGTTTGCACGATGGATTTATCAGTCGAGTATATTTGGGGGGAGGGGGGAAAAACAAGAAAATTAAATCGTTTTTCAAATTTAAAAAAAAAAAAATATTTATATATATATATATATTATACTCACGGATTTTCCGTCGGCGACGTAACCGTAAAAATTAATAATTAATAAAAATCCCGAAAAAAAATTCATTTCCGAAAAAATTTAAATATTTCACATGAGAAAATTTTGTTTAATTGTAATTTATGTTTTCATATTATTAGATTTCTTTCTTTTTTTTCTTGTCTCCAAAAAAAAAAAAAGCGCGTGCGCTCGCACCGATAAAATCGATACAACGTAATAATTATATTCTATTTTGGAATTAAGTTAAAAAAGAAAAAAAAAGGAAGAAACGGGAAAAAATCGGAAAGGGAAAAAAAATTATTATTATTATTATTATCAAAAAAATTTTCTTATATTAATCATTTTGTTTAAACATTTCATTTTTTTTTTATTAATGAAAATTATTTTTTTAAAATATTCGATTTCGCTCGTCCGCCATTTTTGTTTTTGTTTTTTTCAAAAATTATTAATTTTTTTTTTTTTTTTTTATAATGTTACGTTTTATAATTTTTATACTTAATGCCCTATAAAAAACATTAAAATTAAAATAATAGATGTGTTGGGAAAAATGGCGGCAAAATTGTATATATCTAATTCCACGTTTTGATCACGTGTTTCTTACAGCCGATTATTTAAATTCACGTCTATGGTTAAAAATGTATTATTTACGTTACTTGTCGTTGTTTCAAACTTCACTATTAATTTTAATGTATAATTTATTTAATTTTTACGATTTAATCACGATGAATGATTAGTTAATACGTCATAATAATAAAAGTATTAAATGTTATTAATGCAATCATCTTATTTCGGAAAATAAAAATGGATTTGGATGAATTTGCAAAACCGAATTTCGATCCTAAAAAATGGATAGATAACATGACGAAAGACGTTGATAAAGGAGAAGAAAGAGAGAAATCCGTTATGAGTTTAATTGCCAAACTTCAAGTACAGTTTCATAGATTAAATGGTGATTTCGAATCGACGGCACGTGACGTGATACATCATTTGCCCAAAATAAATAAGGATGCTGGCAAGCTGTCAGAAGATGCGGGTGATTTGCAAGATAAAATGAACGCCGTACGAGATGAAATTGATAAAATTAAAAAGAACACGGATATGACGATATCGTCATTGGAAAAAATCGACAGGGTTAAAATGGAATTGATGAAATATAAGGAAGCTTTGCACGAAGCTGACAAATGGACAATGTTGAGCAACGACATAAAAGCTGCTTTGGATGTCAGAGACATTGACACTGTCACATGTAAAGTTTTGACAATGCAACAATCTTTGAGCATATTGACAAATGCTCATGATTACGAAGATAAAAAATTAGAATTGGAAAGTTTTAAAAATCAATTGGAAGCCATGGCCAGTCCACTGTTGTTGCAAGCGTTCACTTCGAAATCAATCGAGCAATCTAAAAAATATGTTGAAACGTTTAAAAGCATAAACAGGTTGCCACAACTTTTGAAACTTTACTCTCAGAATCAAAAATCATTATTGATACAAGCGTGGGAAATAATGAGCGATGTTGACTCTGATGAAAATGTTGTCGAATCATTTCGAAATTATTACAATACACTGTATTCGACATGGATTGAACAAATCAAATGGTTTGATTGTGTGTTCTCTGAGAAAACCGGTGTCGACGTATTGTTGGAACTGTTCAAAGATTTATGTCAAGCATTGAGTCCGAAATTTATCAAACACATGGACAACAGTTTGAAACAAGTGTCAGAACCTCTCATCTTGCTCATGGACCTGAAAACATGCGCTCAACAATTTGCCAACAATCTCAAATCAGCAATCGGTACATTGAGCAACAATTCAAACATTGATAAGGTCAAAAGTCTCGGGAAGGCAATTTATTTACCCTACAAAAATCACATATCCAAGTATGGAGTATATCAGGAAGCAGCTCTTCATCCTCACCTGGCCTCATTGAACGTTCTGACTGACGACATAATGGAATCCGTTCAAAATCTGGGTAGTCAAAATTCCAAAGCGTTCTCTTATTTGGACGATGCAAATAATCTTTGCGTGAATTTGACGGAATCCTGCGGGTATCCCGGGTACCTCAAAGTCGCAGAAAATTTTTTAAATTCTTATTTGAATCAGTACAGGCTCATAAAGAAGAAAATAAACGAAAGTCAACAGAAAAACTACGAGGAAGTCAACATGTTTCAAATGTGTCTCAACATATTGCAATATTTGGGTAATTTTTTAAACCGGGTCAAACAATTGGATCAAGAATGCATGTTGAATTTAACAAAAGTCAAAATGGAATATTCAAAACCGGATGTTCATCCATTTTACAATTATCCGGAATTATTGCTCGACGAGACGAAGAGAGGAGAATTCGACAACGTTCTACGAAATTTGTCGGAAACGAATCAATTGAACGAATTCAAATCCGTTTTCGACAACGTGAGAGATTTGTGTCGAGATGTTTACGACGCGTCGTATAAAATAATGTTCGAACCAATATTGACGATACTCAATTCTTTGGGTACGTCAATGTGGGATGTGAAAAGGGGAACGACGACGTCGACGTCGGATTTACCGGATTACAGTTTCGTGCCGCAAGAGTACATAACGCAAATCGGACAGTATTTGATGAACATGCCGCAACTTTTGGATCCTTTTTCCCTTTCGAAAAATTTAGAACTCGCTCTGGCTTTGAGCTTGGTCGGATCGTATTATTCCGAATTGCTCGACAGCACCGCGACGGACGAAAATAGTTTTGCGGAATTGTTTCTGAGTCAAATTTCGAAGGGAACGTGCAAAGCGTATGCGAAACAAATTTTGGCAATACAAAAACTGTCGAATTTCGCATCGAAACAATTGGCGACGGACATTAATTATTTGGGTAACGTTCTCGAAGACATGGGATTCAATTTGACGAAGAAATTACAGGACATTGCAATTTTGTTGAAACTCTCACCGTCGGAATTCAATGGGAAATGTACGGATTGTTCGCCGCAAATCGTGGCAGAAGTGAGACAAATGAGAAATTTGAACATTAATTAATATAAAAAAAAATTTTCTTTTTAAATAAATAATATATATATATATATAAATTAATACAAACGCCAAATAAAAATTCAAGTTTTTCCTGTTTTCGTAATAGCGGGATTCATTCCGATCGGTCGTGATTTTTTACTCGAAACCGTTCGAACGTCTTTTGACACGTCGTCGTTATTTTTTTTATTATTTTCATCCGTGGATTTTTTTTCACCGGATTCAATTTCATAATTGACGTCTTCTATGGCTTTTAATTTAAGTCCGAGTTCCGTGCAAAGTATCAAAGCGTTGAAAAATTCCAAAAATGTCAACTGTTTGGAAAAATGATAGCCGAGTGTGATCAGTCTTGCCGAAAAAAAATCGATGATGATAATAATGATAAATTAACATACTCTGTGATTCATGTTTATGATGATTCCGTCGGATTCGAATCCCGGACAAACTTTTGTCAGGCATTCTAATATATTTTTAGCATTTAATTTATTAAAATGTAAAATTTCGCATTCGGGTTTTTCCGTATTGATTTCTTCGCAATTTAATACTTCCGGAAAATTAAATGGCAAAGGACTCGGAATGTATTTTAATTCGCCGGCAACGGTCATTGCATTTTTTCCAGACATCATGTAATTGGGTAACTTTTCTAACGTCCCGAAAAAAGAAAAAAATTCAACTCGCGACGATTTCACATAATAATAATAATAATATAGTTATTAATACCGAAATATTTAATAATTTCCGGTTTTGAATTTTCATCATCGCATTTTTTCTGATAGGTTTTCATTAGGAAATCTCTCACAGTGTGAGGTTCGCCGATTCTTTTATAAATTGCATACATGGCATCGAGGGGAACGATATCCGTTTCTAAAAATTTTTTCTCTTCTGAACAAATTGAAAAAAAAAAAAAAAAACAATTATTATTATTATTATTATTATTATTATTATTTCAGTAGAAAAATCCGAGAAAAGGGTATGAAACGCATGAAAAGAAAACCTTTATTATTATTATTTTTACAAAAATTTAAAAAAATTTTTTCAATGTCGTTTTTTAAAAAATATTTAAAAGCGGACGCGAGAATGTTTTTTATTTCTAAATTTTCATAATAATTAATAAATTGTAATATTTTATCATCGTCTAATTTGACTTTGTCGTAGAGTATGTATTTCCCGTAGGAATCCCAGGATAAAAATATTATTATGTGTACGAATTGTCCGAGTCGTATGGGTTCGAACGGATCGTGAACGGTTTTCAATAATAAATAATCTTCTTGTGCTAAAAAAAAAAAAAAAAAAAAAAAAACAAGATGGGAACGTTAATGATGTCTTTTTTTTTTTGTTGTAGGTGAGAGAGAGAGAGAGAGGGAGAAGGGGATATGGGATACCTAATTTTTCATCCATATCAACGAGGGATTGATAATTATTTGGTATTTCGCAATCAATGAGGAATTGCCATAGGAAAAGTCTTAGGAGAACGCATTTAAACGATGGGATTTGTTCGCATGCCAAAGTCGCGTAAAGGTTATAACAATTCTATAATTAATTTTATTATTATTATTATTATTATTGTTATTATTATTATTTAATGAATTTGTTTGTTTGTAGGCGTTTTTTTCGTACGTACTTTCAATTCGGATACGCTACACGTGATTGCATTTCTTAAATATTTTTCTTCTTGCGTTAGTGCAAGATCCGATAGGAAAATTTCTTCCATGCAATGAAAAGACTCGACGTCGTCGAAATCTCCGGATTTTATGGGGAGTTTCGGATATGGATTTAAATCCTTTTCGAAAAATTTTTCCACGTGAGTTTTATATCTTGTTAAATGCATTGTTAAATCTAACGATTTTATCGATGAATGCGCCGGAATGGTGATAACTTTTGACGTTCTTGAAACCGTCAAATAATTTGCCAAAGCCTACACGGGGGGGGGGGGGGCGTGTCATTAGAAAAAAAAAAAAAAAAAATGGGGGAGGTCATTTGTTGCATTGCAACATCACTCACTCACTCACCTCGTTTTCCTTACTCTTAAATCTTCTACCGAGCGTACGATTTTTAACATCCAAACCTAATAAATCATCATCGTTTGAATTTAACAAACCTTGTTTGTCGTTGTAAAAAAGATTTTTAGCCGTGACGACTTTGTTGTTGACGCACACGACGGTACCGGATCCCCATTTTAAATCATCTTTCCAAATCGTATCGATGAGAACCCCTTGTATCGTTTCTAAAATTCCATTTCCGTTTCTTTTCTAATTAACGTCAAAAACGAGTAAAATAAAATTAAGAAGGAAAGAAAAAGTGGGGGGTGGGGGTTGCGGGGGGGGGAAAGTGAAAAATTACTCCGTCGATCCAATAACCACGATAAGTGTTCGTTGCCGGATATGATAAAGTTTTATTTATGAATCCGTTCCAAGTGTATTCGCCGTAACCGTTCATCAAATCGTTTTTCCATTCTCCGCGATATATCTACGAAAATACGAAAGAAAATTCTTATTTTTCTTCCCCGTCCCCTATCCCCGTTTTCCAGGAGTGAAAATTTATATACAAACGTCGTTATTGTTCCAAATCATGACACCGTTTCCGTTTCTTTTATCTCGGCTCCAGTAACCTATATATTTCGAACCGGATGGATATTGTCTGTACCCGAAACCTTCTTTCATTCCATTTTCCCATTGCCCCCTGTAAAAATCCTGTTCTTTCGATGGATCTTTGTAAACGATCAAACCCTCGCCGTGTCTTTTACCGAGCCACCTTTTTTTTTTTATAAAAAATGATTTCGTCACGATGACGTCAGCAAAGGGGAAAAAAATTGAGAATATCCCTACCAGTGACCCGTGTACACGACTGGAGAATTGTACAAACAGTAAATCCCTTCTCCGTGCCTGTACGCTTTATAAACACCACCCTCGTAAGTGTTTTGATTGGAAAAATCAAATCTTCCTTTTCCCGTCGCGCAACCACCGATAAAATCACCCTAAAAAAAAAAAATTCCAATCATAATAATGATAATTACGCACACGCGTGCACGCACGCACACGCACCGCGAAGACGGTTCCGTCGTTCCAAAAATAAGTTCCTTCTCCTTCCATTAACCTTCTCGAAACTCGACCCCTATACCAGGCACCGTTAACGAAAGTCAAATTAACATCTTCGTCAGGTTCAGGTTTTGTAAATTCATTTATATCGAATATTTCGGATTCGTATTCGCCGCATTCGAATTCGGTTTCGTTCGATTCGCTACTCATAAAAATAAAATTTTTAATCAATCAACCAATCAGTGAATGAATGAACGAATGAAATTTGTATAAAGTTTGTACGAACGTTTTCGAAGGATTTTGTTGTAAGTTATTTTTATTGCCCAATGATAATGATGATCTTTTCGAATAAACATTTTTTAAAAAATCAATCTAAATAAATAAATAAGGATTTTATTAATAATAATAATGATTTTTTTAAATAGGGATTAAAAGAAAAAAATACCGACGGAAACAGTCGATGGATATTCGCAGGGATACAATTCGCCATAATCTTCAGTGTCGTCATTTGATAACAAATCGGGATTATCTAATTTTTCCTTCTGGCAAAATTTACCATTCCAACTGTAAGTTAAAAAACATTTTATTTACGTCATCATCATCATCATCATCATTATCATTATTATCATCACCGTTTGAAAACAAACGGGGGGAGGGGAGGGGGGGTGTCGTCGTACCTTTTTACGAGTACGTCCAAAGCGCAATTGATAAAAAAATAAATTAAACTTTCTCGTGCCGTTACCGGACATCTTTTATCCGCTTTCACGCTGTCCAAATCTAATTTTTCATCCGATTGTGATTTGACACCTTCTTCTATTTTCAATAATCAATCAATCAATCAATCAATTAATTAATTATGGGGGGGTGGGTGGGTGCGTGGGAGGAGTTACACAAACGACAATTTTATTTACCGTGTGATAAAAGGACGTCATCATCCAAATTAATCGAATCCGGTTCCGGTTTTTTGATTGATTTTAATTGATCGGCTTTTATTTGAGCCGGAGTACCTTTCGGACATTTAAACATAATTTCAATAATAATAATAATAATCTTTACATCATTCAAAACAAAAGGGAAAAGGGAAAAAGAATTTGAAAATGACTAGGGAAATTTTTTCCCTACTTTTTCATATTCGATATATCGAAATGCGAAAACGATCGATATATCGAAATGCGAAAACGATCGATATATCGATCCCGCACGCACATTTTTAGTTTAAATATCATATAGAAAGAGACAATTTAAAAAAAAAAAAAAGTTTTATTATTATTATTATTATTACTATCAATAGTATTTTTTTTTTTTTACATGTTTTTCAAATTTTTTTTTTTTGTAAAAATTCTTAATAGTTTTTGTGCAAATTGAAATTTTTCTAAAAATACGCGTCCCTCGTTTCGTGTTTGTTTGTGTGTGTGTGTGTCGTTGTGTTTGTACACCCTAAATGTTGTTTTATAAAACAAACAAAGTTTTTTTTTTTTTTTTTGCCAATTTTAAATTTATACGAACATCATCACTTGACAGAATTCGTTTACAGAAAAATCCTATTAATAATAATAATAATGATAATAGTTTGCTTCGTTTGTTTGTTTGTTTTTCACGTTCGTAATAATAATGATAACGTTTATAATCCATTGGTTTATTGTCTTATGTAAAGAGAGAGATAGAATGAAAGAAAGGTTCGAATGTTTTTTCGATTGAATTCGTTACGAGCGGCAGTGCGTTTGTTTGTGTTTGTCTCTGTGTGTGTGTATGAGCGCGCACGTTTGTTTGTTTATAAAAATTTACGTGGAATTAACGGGGGTGCCATCATGCATTTATACAAAAAAAAAAAAAAAAAAAAAAAAAAACTTAATTTAAATATAATAAAGTAAATAATGTTGAACGAACGCGACGCATTAATCTGTATATATATATATGTACAATTATTATAGTAGATCGATACAAAGGTTAAATGTGTGGCTACTACGTGTCGTAATCTTCATCTATAACACATTCTTTAGCAACGTTTTCTTCGTCTTCGTGATATCCATTTTCTTTCTTATTATTTCTTTCGTCACTCTTTTCATCATCGTCTTCCTCTTTGTTGTCGTCATCATCATCTTCATAATTCTCATCATCATCATCATTTTTATTTATTTTTATCTTATCCTCCTCCTCTTCCTCGACTTCCTTTTCACCATTAGATTTAAAATTATCACTCATTTTAGAACAATTAGAAAGTTTAAGTTCGTTGAGCTGAGTTATATTACGACCCGACATGTTTCTTATCGAAGATGGCATTAATTCGTTTGTTTTCACGTTCGTAAAAGGGAAATTTGTTGAATAATTATTTGACATCATTTGTGAACTCGACGTGTGTTGTATAACCGTTGTCGTACCAACAAACAAAGAGGACGGAGTGATAATATTAGGTTCCGCAGGTTTATTCTCCTATAAAAATTTAAGGTTTTTCCATTAGGTTGTTACTTTGTCAAAATTTGTGTCGAATGATTTGATTGAATGAAAACTTACATAATCATCACTACCGATAGGAATTTCTTTATAAAACTTTGGTTGAGATGTTTGTAATAGGGGAGGTTGACTAGTAGCAACGCTTGAACTTCTCGATGAACCCCCATCCGATTGTGGTGGTGGTGGTGGCTGATTTTGAAATTGAAAACAATTATAATATTTAGTCGATGGTGCAGGACTTATGACGACACCTGCTTGACTGTTGTTTACGCAGGGAGATGTAAAATCATCTTCAATACTAGACACATCTGGAATACCTTTGACTAGATCTTTTAAAAAATCAAATCGACTTTCTGAAAGTATGCACTGTTTCCTGCAACACCACCACCATTTAAATTAATACAAGTTTATTATTATTATTATTATTATTTCAAAATTATCGATAATACATTTATACAATCGATTGTAATGAATGCATCACAAATAATAATAATAATAACAACGGTGACAAGGTTGACAAAAATTAAAAGCTTTTATTTACTATTTACTCATTTACAATTACAATCTCATACAAATATAAAAGGAATGTAAGAATGAATAATAATAATAATAATGGTTAAATGAGTGTGGACACTTACATGTGTGTAGGAGTCAATGTTTTAGCATTTTTAGCACTAGTGATCTGCATGGCTCTTTTTAATAATGATTCGACAAACAATTCTAACGTTCTTGATATGATAACTGGCACAGCTTGAGCCACTTTTCCAATTTCTTCATCTGTTTGCATTATTTTTTTTATACGCCCCTTTTTATAACCAAACCAAAAAAGAAAACAAACAAACAATAAATAAATAAAAGCAAACTCATAATAGGATTTATAAGAATGTTCTAGAAACGTATCGAATAAGTAAAATAATTAAAATTAATGTGAATATGTATAAACACATACACGCATAAATAAATACTCACAGCTGGAAATCTAGCGTTATATTTTTTCTTTTTGCTAGGCATTTTCAATATATATGTGTGTGTATTTAATTATCGAAAATAATTCTCGTTTTATATTTATATAAGAATTAATCGATCGTAGGTTTACCGATGATAATAATATTAATATTAATAATTCTCATGTTTTTACTCGGTTAGAAAAAAACAAACAAACAAACAAACAAAAAAAAACAAAAAAATTAAATGTTATATATCTCCTCGTTCTCGCGACTAACAACAATCTCGTTTTCTTTTTTTTTTAACCATAGAGTTTCCGGTTTAGCGATTATTATGATGGCGGTGGTGGCGGTAGAAGCGGTAAAGTCGGCAACTATGGTGACTGCTCAACTCATCGTTAGAGCCACCATAGTTTTAAAAATTGGTTTTATTTATTTATTTATTTATTTATTCACTTTCGATTTTATTAAAATAAATTATGATTTTACGGTTTTTTTTTATTAAGGTTTGGTTAGTTAGGACGCCATGTTAATAATAATAATAATAATAATTGATTGCGTGTTAATAATTTTATTATTTATTTATTGTGTTTATATTTTTTATTGGTCGTTGAGAGAGAGAGAAAACATGCAACAATGGATTCGTAACATTTAATAATAATGAAAAAAAAAAAAACATAAAATTATGTAAATGGCCTTGAAAAAAAATTGACAGGTTTTTTTTTTATTAAAAAATGTGCGTGTGCGTGAGTGCGTGAGTGCGCGTGTTAATCGTTTTTATTTATTTAGGGAGACCGACTCGTTTCCCCCCTCCCCCTTCGCCACTCCCGCACGACGCCATTTTGGTTTAGTATCAAATTTCGACGAGGATTTCGTCGAGAGATTTTCTTTTCAAATCCGGTACGAGTGCATTTTCCGACGGGTATCCGACGGGAAGTAACAAAGTTAATTTTTCATAAGTTGGCCGCCCTAGTAAATTTCTCAAAGCGGGACCACAATTTAATGGCGTGCTAGTCAACGAAACTAATCCGGCGTTCTAATTAAAAACAAAAAAAAAAAAAAATTTTTTTTATTAATATAAATGTTCTGGTTGTTGTTGTTGTGGTTGTTGGTGTTGTCGTTTGTGTTTGTTTCTACTCACGTGAATGGCTGCTAATAAAAATCCGGCTGCTATCGATACGCTTATTTCATTATAATAATGTATTTTTTTCGTACCGTCATTTTTATAACTATATATTTGTTTGAAAACTAAAATCAAATATGGCGCATCCGTTAAATATTCCTTTATCCAATTTGTTTTTAACGGTTTTAAATCTGTCGTCCATTGAATACCTGTCGGTGGTTTAGACAAAAATAATACGAATTGAAAAAAAAAAAAAATTAAATGACGTGGAAGGAGAAAGTAAGTGTTATACCCATTCTTTTTTCATAATTGATTTTTTCTTCTTCTTCGACGATTTCTCGTATTTTTAATTTCATTAAAGGATCCGATACTGTGACGTATGTCCAAGGTTCCGTATGTGCTCCACTTGGTGATGTACCTGGAATTTTAAAAGGTTCGTGTCATTAGCATTGCTCCCGTCGGACGGTTTCTCTCTCTCTCTTTCTCTCACCTGCCGTTTTTATTATGTTACGTATTATTTCCGGGGATATCATTTCTTTGCTAAAATGTCTTATAGTTCTTCTTTCGTTCATCAAATTGTAAAAATTCAAAGAACGTTTTAAACTTTCTTCCATTGGTAATTTATTAAATTTGTAAGGTACGTGTTGTAAATTTTCAGGTAGAGAACTTTGTACGTACTTTTCACCATCGAATTCCTTTTCATCAAAATCATCTTCCCCTAAAAACAGGCACACAAAAATTAATCGAATAACCTCTTCCCTCCCCTCCTCCCCTACAAAAAAACAAAAAAAATTGTTCGTACCTTCGTCGTGTATCCCGTCGCGTTCGTGATTCATCCTTTTCATCTTTTCATCTATTTTCACGTCATTTTTATTTTTACTTCCACGATTGAATAACGTAAACGATAGAAAACACAAAAATGCACAAACGAATATATTACTCCAATTATCAATGACGAATTTATCGAATTTAGACATTTTTTTTTTTTTTTATTAAATAAAATCCTTCGTTCACATTTAAAAAACTACGCAATGATAATAATGATAATAATAATAATAATAATTAACAATCTATCGGAGACGTTGACCGATTTTTTTTTTTTTTATATACGCCCGATTGATAAGACCGCAATTTAAATTATTATTATTATTATTATTATTATTGTTCTGTTACCACTTTTTTTTTTTTTTTTTTTATAGTTAATCCGTGCGAATGTTAACGTAACAATGTTTTTATTATTATTATTATTTTTTAAATAATGTATAATTGATAGCAACGATAAAATTTATATAAAACGAGAAAAAAAAAAAAAAAAGTTTTTTAATTTCAAGGCGGTTAACATTTGAATAAATTGCGCAAAATAATTGGCAATAAACCATGACCCGACTCACTTTTCTACTGCCACTTTAAAATTTTTTTTTTTTTTTTTTTTGTATTGGAAGTTTTTAATGCGAATGAAAATTAATTAACGTCGTGGAGTTAAAATATTGTTTGTTGTTTGTCTCGTTTCCTACCACAATTTTTTTTAGGTTGTCTCTCTCTCTCTCTCTTTCTCTTTTACGTACATCTCCCCTCTCTCTCTTTCTCTTTTACGTACATCCCCCCTCTCTCTCTTTCCCTCTCTCTCTCTGTAATTTTCAAAAGTTAAAATTTTGTTTTTCCGAGGTTATCGAAAATTAATTAAACCGGTATTAATCAATCAATCAGTCAGTCAGTCAATCAATCCGTTTTATAAACGTATAAATTGTTAAAATTTTCATTTTGGTATTTTTCAAATATTTTTTCCAGGGGTACCAACTTCATTTTTATACAATGATAATAATAATAATAAATTTTTCAAAGGTCGTAAAAGAAATTCGTATGTATCGTTATACGTTATTATTATTATTATTATTATTATTATTACTGATATTCGTTATCAATGTGTACTCATTTAATTATTTCCTATTGATTACCAATAATAATTCGAACGATGATAATAATAATATCTGTACGTAAAAATTTATTTATTAAAAATAAATCGGTCGAACGATTGAAACAAACGCATTATTATTATTATTATTAATGTCAAATATTACGGACGGATGAGGTGAAAAAAAATATTGTCGAATTTTTATTTATTTAAGGCGCTTGCGTATCCACCCACGCATGCACGCACGCACGCACGCACGAAAAAAAAATTTTTTTTAAAGCGACGGTAAAAATAATAATAAAAAAAAAAAAAAAAATTGAGTTAAAATTTTGTTTTATTTACTCACAAACACCGTCAGCCCCTGTGGCCTAATGGATAAGGCATCGGTCTCCTAAACCGGGGATTGTGGGTTCGAGTCCCACCAGGGGTAACGCGAATCAAAAAATTTTTTTTATTTATTATTATTATTTTAAATCGCGAATGGTTGTAATTTTTAACGCCGTAATTATTATTATTATTATTTTTTTTTTACGAGGCCGAGAAAAAAAGAAGAAAAAAAATTCCGACGCGAATCTCGAATCTTTAAATATCACTGTTATTATTATTATTATTATTCAATAGAATTTTTTTTCTTAGAATCGGATTTATACGCTGTTAGAGTTCGTAATTTACCCGATAGATGGTGTTGAAACAATCTGTTAACTCTACCATAATTTTTATAAAACATTCAGTAAATTTATTCGACGCCGTAATAATAAGTAATCGTAGCGACGTAAACAAATTTCGTTTGTTTGTTTTTTCCTTTTGTTTGTTTGTTTGTTTTAAACTAAAAAAATTACATAGAGTATTTAAATCAGATTTAATCGACTGTGTCAATCATTTTTCATAGAATAAAAAAAAAAAATTTTACACGTGATACAATTTACGTTAATGTGACAAACGTTTACACAACGTCGATGAGAGAATTTTTTTTTCATTCTTTTAGAAATTTATTAATAATAATAATAATAATGATAATAATGATAATAATATTATTAATAATAATAATAATAATGATAATAATAATAATAATGATAATAATAACAATAAATCACTTTCATCTTTTACTTTTATATTTACGAAAAACATTCATTGGTTTAAATTTTTACTTTCTACATAAAAAAATGGAAAACCTCAATTTAGGTTTAGGTTTAGGTTTATACATTCATAAATATTTAAGGACAAAAAATTTGAATGCGAGTAGTATTATTATTATTATCATTATCAATATTATTCTAACTGTTACGATTAGTTATTATTATCTTGAGTAACATTAACCTAGTGACACGTTTACTTACCTTAATTAATTACTTGAAATTTTTTTATTTATTTTAAATTTCGAATTACCCCCACCACCACCACCGTCAAGCACGAATTTTTCTACATAACAATAAATTTACTTATAAAGATTTTCTAGAACGTTCTAGAAAAGAAAAAAATAAATAAATAAATTTATGTAATTAAAAATGTTAATAGGAAAGTTTTATTAAAACGATTAAATGTTAGTAAATATTTATTTATTCTCTCTTTCTCTCTCTCTCTCTCTCTCTCTTTTTAATAATTAATTACGTAATAAAATTATTGTTGCTGTAACATATGTTAAAATCATCATCATCATCATCGATAGGAAAAAAAAAATGGCAAATTTTTGTATCGAAAGTGAAACGTGATTTTTTTTTTTAAACGAAAAAACTTATCATTATTATTATCATTATTATTATTTATCCAGGACTTTCTTTTTTGTTTAAGTAACCGACTGACCGAAATCTGTCATGAATGTTTTTTTTTTTTTTTACATAATTGTTAAAAAGTATTAAAAGGCCGTTATTTAAATGTTAGGCGGCGACGGGGCGGTGGTGGTGGGGAGGGTGATGGGGGCGGGGGGTAGGGAAGGGAAATTTTAACGTCCTTCGTTAACGACAATAATAATAATAATTTTTTATTTTTGACGACCGAAAAAAAATCGTTTAATATATATTGTGAGGGAGAGTGAGAGAGAGAGAAGTCGACCGAACTTCTCACGATAATCGCAGTAATGTTTCTTTTTTTCACATTAACAAAAACTCGACTCGCTAACACACTCACACACACACACACGCACGCACGCACACGCACGCTAAACGTCGTCGAAGCTTTTCTTTTTTAAATCAGTTTGCTAATAGTAGTAGTAGTAGTAATAATAATAATAATAAATAAATAGTCGACTTTATGAAACGTAAACGGATTGATATAGAGTTTATCATTTGAATAACGATAATAATAATAATAATAATAATAATAGTAAGGAAAAAGAAAAAAGGAAAAAAAGGAAAAAAATTTTGTTTTTTTTTTTAAAATTTAAATCCCGAGTGTATCCATGGTTTTGTTTTGTTTTTCTAAATATTAATTAAAATATCATTATTATTATTATTATTATTATTATTATTATTATTATTATGTATTAATAAATTGCGTCGTCGTCGTTTGTTTATGTTTTTTGATTGCTATGTTTTGCTTATGAGTAAATTAATATCAGTGCGTTTGTTCGTTTGTTCGCGTTGACCGTACGTATATATTCGTGTTTTACTTATTTAATTATTATTATTATTATTGATGTTAATTATTATTATTATTATTATTATTATTATTATTATTATTATTATTATTATTATTATTATTATTATCATTATTATTATTATTATGCGGCATGTAAATGTGTTGAATGTTTTTTTTTTTTTTTTTTTTTTTCGCGAGGATTTAAAAAGAAAACAAAAAAATACTAATAATAATGATAATAATTGAAATGTTTTTTTTTGACGTCCTCGACCTTGACCCCGTTCCCGTCTTCCCACCACCACCGCTGCCGCCCCCACTCCCTCTCCCACCGAACGGTTACTTTTTCCCCGTTGTTAATTATCATTATTATTAATTTTTTTTTGTAAATAATTGTTTGGGGGATTCGATTCGGGAAAGTGATTTGATTTCCGGGTTATTTTATATTATTCGAGTGATATGTACACGTTTGTCGTGTCAATAGACAAATAAAATTAATTAAAGGCTCTTCTACTACCACTACTACTAAATAATATAATAATTCGGTTGATGATAAATTTCGTTTTCGTTTTGTCGCACGATAAGTAAATCGATGAATGATGATGACCTTGACTAATGAAAACAACCTTTGAAATTCGTTTGTTGTTGTTGTTGTTGTTGTTTACTAAAAGGAAAAAGAATTTTTTTTTTTTTTTTAAATTTGAAATTTTTGACGTCGTAGAAATTTCCGTATCGCGCATGACGACGTGTAAAAGGTTATGGATTTTATTATTATCATTATTATTATCATTATTATCATTCACCGATTTAAGGTTTTTTTTTTTTTTTACTCAGGTTTTTTATTTTTACGAACCTTGAAAAACGTTATTATTATTTGGAAAAATAAAAACAAACGTCGTAATCGAACGAAGCATATAAAAAAAAAAAAAAACTAATCGATAAATTAAAAAAAAAAAAACTTTTCTTTTTTCTCTCACTTCCGTTTCCTCTTTCACCACCACCACCGCCGCCATCTTTTATTTCACACAATACCTGACGATGAGAAAATGTATAAAAAAATTCGATTAAATTTTTAAAAGGAAACCGCTTTAGTCGTACAAAACGTCGAACGAAAAAACAAACCCAAATCGTTTGTATGCAAACGTTTGTTATCACGTTATCAAAATACGTATCGACTTCTCCCCTCTTCCCCTCTTCCCTCCCCTTCCCCCACCGCCTCCTCCTCCACCTTCCCCCTCCTCTTTATTACGTGATTGAATTAATTAAAAAAAATTTTTTCAACCGGAGGAAATGAAATAGAAAATTTTTAATAATCGATCGCCGCAATGATTATTAGTATTATTATTGTGATGGTGATGGGGGGAATGTGGGGAGGTGGTGGGGAAGGTGACATAATGAATCGTCAGTCGGTTAGGTGATAATCATTATTATTATTATTATTTATTACGTGTAATAGTTTTTTTTGTCGATTCGCCACGTGTACATCATAAAGAG